TTATTTGCTGATACAGTTGTAAAAGTATTTTTAATTTGAAAAATACAGATTTTTTATCAATTGTTTTACTTACTACAGTTTGATTTTTGTGAGGTGCTGACCATTTAACTTTTTATTTGAACTGACTGTGTGTTTTTCAGAGGAAGCTAAGTTGAAGATGCTTTCGTGTTTGAATTGAAAATTGGACTGAAAATGATGCAGTTTTTTTTCACTGAAAACCTAAAACAACCACTGGGTACAGAGCTTTCTCTCTCTGTCACTAGAAAATTTAAAATAATGTGTTCTAGATTAATGAACTGATATTTAAACAAATAAAATCAGCCAAAGTATGACAGAATATCTCATAAGTCAGATTATAGGTCCGTAGTTTTGTCATCTCTTTTCCACTCTGTTTGCTGCTAGAGATTAARTTCTTTATTCATTTTATTGTAACTTTATGTCTAATTTATTACAGTTTGACGGTTGTAAGTAAATTATTAAGACGTCACTTAGGTTTGTCCCCTATTTGCATATTAGCCTAGAATCACAATAATCATCTAACTTTGAATCTTGTGCTCTTAGTAAAAACCTGCTCACTTAAGATGTGCTGTTAGTAGCATAAATTAGCCACTTAGCTGTGGTGCAGTAACAGTAACAGACTCGCTTTAACCAGAGTTTGCCCTCTTATTCTTTGGTTTCTCTTTAATCAGCTAATTCTGTTTGTAGTCCTGAAGAKGGTGAAGCACAACGTAAAAAAAAGGAATTTCAGGCAGTGGAAATAAAAAAAAATCAGGTGTGTTTGTGGGGGGAGAAGGAAGGTTTGTAGTGTGTCTGCTTCTGCACATGGAGTTCATTACATCCCTGCTGGATGTTTGTTTTCTCTATTAATCCCTGTTCCTCTATTATCATGAGCTCCATCAAAACGGCCCCAAACCCCTGCCCTCCAGATGAGCTGGCATTACACACACACACACACACACACACACACTCACTCACACACACACACACACACACACACACACACACACACACACACACACACTCTTTTCTGTTATGAATAAACGATACAATTCAGCCATCCGCAGCATTATCCCGGCCCATTTATCTTGTTATTTTTCTTCTCCTGTCCCACAGCAACACATGAAGGAAACATCTGAGATTTTACTGCCTGATTAAACGTGCCTTCAGGAACAGCATCAGCACGCTGTGATGACGTCTAGAACAACTGTAGACTTTATATTGGCATTCCTAATTGTTTAGGGATACACAGGAGCAAATTGTTTCCCCCCACAGATGAAAGCAACCCTTGAGCATGTGTCTCCAATTTACTGCCAGTGGTTTTTTTGACCTTTCATCAAACTGATGYTTTGTGTACGCAAATTATATTTTCGCTGTTTTGCAATGCAACAATATCCACACACACAAAAAATAAAAAATCTGAAAAATGCGGTCACTTAAAGTTCACTGTGTTCTTCTGCTGATTGAGCTCAGTTAATTTATCCTGAACCATCTGTGTGTTTGTCGTCTTGCAGGCCACTCGTGCCACTCTCACAGCTCACTGCTCAACGCTGGGCGACTCTCTGAGAAAAGAAAACGACCTCGCGCTGATCATCGACGGCCAAACGCTGAAGTACGCCCTGTCCTTCGAGCTCCGCCAGGCCTTCCTCGACCTGGCGTTGTCCTGCAAAGCTGTGATCTGCTGCCGGTAGGGAGGCATCAGTCATTACCTAATTTCCCTCTGGGATCAATAAAGTATTTTTGAATTTGAATTTGAATAAGGAAAACCCTTTGCTGTTATTGTAGCTGTTTTTTTACGCAGGTCAGGCATCATTTCAAATAAATCTGAATCTCCAGATTGTCTGGGTTACCTCTGAGAACCCATTTAGAAATAGGAAATGTAACATATTTCAACGATTCTGAAATAAGAATGAAATTTTGTTAAGAATGTGATGGACAAACACAAACAGCATTGTGATGTTGTGGAAACTCTCATGTGAGGACGTTTAGTTTGTAATCCTCCAACATGTTCTTTGTATTAAACAAACCCAGTAACACCTCAGGGAACCTATAAAAGAAAAAACATGCACACACACACACACACATCTGTCTCTGTTGTGTGTATGAGGAGAGAAAATGAAGGGATGCTGAATATAAATGTTAGTCATGCTGAAATGGACCGTTAGCATCTACGGTCATCGGTGTTTAAAATTCACCGTGATTTGAAGAARTCAACGCTCACTGCTTAAAAACAGTTTGAACAAATGAGTTTCCGCTTGTGTGTTTGTACTTGTGTGAATTTGTGTTGTGAGGAGGATCGTAACGGTCTCTGGTGCGTGTCCGAGCCACATCCGGACCCAGGTCTGTCCGGCCCTGCAAACAGCCTCCAGCTTCCTCTCGTCTGTCTTTTTATTGCATCTTTTCTTCTTTCGTTCTACCGCCAGCGCTGCTGGAAACTTTTAAAACGTCCCAACATTTTCCTTCTGATCAGTTTTAAATCATATCTCATGAACTGCTGATCTGTGTGCGGATCAGTTGTGTAAACACTACTTTAATCCCGTTTTTAATTTTTGTTTTAATAAATCTGACTGGATTCAGATTCTGATTAAAAACTGTAATAAAATAGTAGTAGTGCCTTCAGGCTCAGGCCATTTGCAAAAGAGATCTGTGATCTTAATGGGATTTGTCTGGTTAAATAAATGTCAATATAAAAATCATTAAATTTATTTGATCTAAATTCTGTCTGAATTTAAAATTTGGTCATGCTGACAATAGAAAAGCATTTCTTGTCCCAAAAAAAGATATTTTCTCCTAAATGATTTTTTGACTTTTTCTTTTTGGTCATTTGAAATTTACAAATTGCCTCATATTACTGAACATAATTATTTGCTCCAGTTTCTACTGAAAATAAATTGATTATCTTTTATATAAATGAGATTAAATCTGTTCAGCCTTGTTTTTTTTACATACCTAAATAACAGACAAGACATCAAATTAAAAAAATTTGTAAGAGTGTCCAACATATTTGGGAGTTTAAAAAAAGCTAATCAGTTTTCCGGTAATTTAATTCATAACCCTGTAATTTTTAGCGTGATCATTGTTTTTAAAAAAAAGTTTGTGTGTGTGAGACTGGGAGCGGGCGGGTCGAGCGTGTTCGTACGCATGGGTTCCTGACTTCATGGCGCGTTTGTTTATAGGAGGGCTTGGCGGCTGCTTATTTTCTGCTCAGTTCCTCCGTGAAGAGCTCCGGGAGCCTTTCATCTTCCCAGCTCCACTTTACACAACCCCAGACACTGTTCGCCRTGTTTAGAGTGAAGGTAGAGGCAGAGATGAAGAGAGAGATGTGGTCWGAGGCCAAGACACGCAGYAAGCATTTGTGCACACTTGCAAGAKCAGAGGTTGATCCCATCCTTCCTTAATGGCTGCAGAAGAGAAAAAAAAAGCTCTGGGATTTAACTTTGCATCCTGTGGAGGTGGAGAGGGGTGTAGTGCTTGTGATTTTTGCCTGTTTTTATCAGAACGTGTTTCGATTGTACCCACTGGTTCAAATCCCCCACAAAATACCCAAAAATGAGGGCGAGGGGAGTCGTTTTTATGCTCATAATTAAATTTTATCATAAAATCATTATATTGAGTTCCATTTGCRTGTAATGGTCCACGCAGCTGCTCATTATCTCATCTTATAATGTCATTAGCTGCGGCGCAGACAGACGTGGAGGATAATTATTTTTTACGCTGGTTTCCAGGAATTAGACCAGCCCTTATGAACATAACTCATTGGCTTTCTGGGAAATGTTTAAAGTAATTTCAGCACTTTAGGCCCTGTGTTGGTACCTAAATCATCATCACCCCATGCATCACCGAGCCTCAGGTAATTGCTATAATCTGGGAAATGTAATATAAATATTTAATCTTTGGCTGTGGGTTAATATCCAGTAAAGYGACCGTATTGCTGCCTTGAAGATTATTAAAGCTAGATTATCTGGGTTTTATGATTAAATGCTATAATGTTGAAATTTACAATGCAAACACCTAATTTATTTTAAGCTATACTGAATCTAATCTCCGCTGTGGGAAGTTTAACTTGCTTTGTTGTTCAGCTTTTATCTTTGTCCCGTATCGGTTTTCCCTCACGTCTCCTCTTTTTGAGACAGATTTGTTTTCACTGAACACTTCGGCTCACAAAGACACGACTCCGTCAACCTTTGTGTCTTTTTACACGTGACTGACAGTCAGAGGAAACACCTCCTGATATAATGTCTGTTGTGAAAAAACACTTTCAGGATGAATTCAGTGTTTGTAGCAGAGTCTAGATTGCACATTTAGTTCACGAGCCAAGATCACTCCGCTTACAACCAGGAAGTGATGAACTTCTGACTGAACTATCAAAATAAAATGCAAGTGTATAAGTGGGACATTTTATTCTTAGGTCAACAAGGGGCTCCCACCTCTAAAAGTAGATTTTATTGATTGACTTTTTAATTCTTCTGGTGGAAAATTACTTTTTTTTTTTACATTTTTACTGAAGGTATTTTATTTTATGATTTTTTTCACCTAATATTTGAGCAAATTTAGGGATTAAAAGCCGTCTAGTCTGTATTCGCATTGAAATGAACAGTTTTATCAGGATCTGTGCCAACGAAATTAAAAAGAAATCCTCAGTTATTTTAAATCTCACAGAATATTTACATTTAAACGAACTAGGGTGCACTAAGATAACATATGCAACTTAACGTGTGTGCATGTTCAGGAAAACAAAAAGTGCTTTTTRAACAAAATTTAAACCTGAATGAGTAGAACTTRTGAGGTTGGAGCTTCTTTTTAAAGTGTTTTTCTGCAGATCAAGCACAATGCATGGTGACACTTCACCATCCTCCCTCAGTGGCCTTTAGGGAAGCGTCTGTAATGGAGCCTCCTTTTGTCAGTGAAGAGACCCAACCGGTTATTGAAAGGGTATCAGTGATGCAGGTCAAGAGGGTGGAGTACCCCTGGAAGCTCCCTGAACACACAACACTCTATGCAGTTGTGCATAAATTCACGTAAACACACGCATTTGCAACAAAAACTCACCAGAAGTGGGTTTCATCAAACGTTTTTTAGACAGTGACTCTTTGAACTGAGTTTTTTTTCTGACAACCACTCTTCAATCTCTTCCCCCCTTTTCAGCTTTGATTTATTAATCAGCCAGTATGAAAAGAAAAGCAGGGAGAACATGAGGAGAAATGATGATTCCCTTTTCTCGGCCTCTAATTTCCTCCCAGAACAAGCAGCTGCGTTAACCCATTAACCCGTCTCCACCTGCTTCCYGCAGGGTGTCCCCGCTGCAGAAGTCCGAGATCGTGGACATGGTGAAGAAGCACGTGAAAGCCATCACTCTGGCCATAGGCGACGGGGCGAACGACGTGGGGATGATTCAGACGGCCCACGTCGGGGTGGGAATCAGCGGCAACGAGGGCATGCAGGCCACCAACTCCTCTGACTACTCCATCGCTCAGGTGGGTGCAGRTGCAGCGTGAAAACACGTAGAGCAGATATTTACTCTCCAGGGTCGCACAGAGGTCTTACATCGTCCACTCTGTGGTCAGTTCCTTTTCACTTTAACCCTTCTTCAAAGAAACAAATGAAAGAATTCACTTAAACAGGGGTGTCAAACTCCTGTCCTCGAGGGCCGCTATCCTGCATGTTTTAGAGGTTTTCTTGCTCCAACACACCAGATTTTGATCGCTGGGTAATTAACAGGCTTCTGCCCAATTTGAAGAGTTAATTCAATCACTGAATCAGGTGTGTTGGAGCTGGAAAACCTCTAAAACATGCAGGATAGCGGCCCTCGAGGACTGGAGTTTGACACCCCTGGATTAACATTTTCAACTGCGATTAATCTCAGTAAAAAAATTTTTAGAAACTGTTATGTCTGAATGTGTAYGTTTTTATGTTGCAATACACACCGTGTGCAACATGTCATAAATCTGTTTTTCTTTTATTGTGATTGGACTTTTTTTTTTTCATTGCTGACAACTAGGACCTCAGTATCTTTTATTCATCCTCTACTCATTTGGAATAACAGTAAAAACTCCTTGRCTTCTTGATTAGTCTTATTATGCACAAAATTCAATTATGACTAATGTTTAAAGCATTTTTCAGGTACTGTTATACAAAAACGGTGYCTTATATTTTCAAAACCTTTAAACAAAGAAGGCAAAGCAAGCCTGTCTTTTTTTCCCTTCCTACACGCGGATCAGCCTCGTCCCTCTGTTTGTTACGGTGGTTTTTAAAATGAAGAGGTCTTTCAGGCTCAAACTCCTCTGGCAGTGAGGCAGTTCAGCGCTGCAGCGTTTACAAATAACTTCTATGCAACACACAGTCGAAGAGTTTAAAAAAAAATACAATAGGACGCACTAATTATCGATCAAAACACAACACTCAAGTAATGGTAGTGTTGTCTTCTTTCGTGTGGTTTTGTTTACATTTTCACAGCTGTTTAGTCGTGCCGATTGATGAAAATTTGTATTTAAACACTGGTTTCAAATGTTGTCTAAAAGATTAACTTTTTTTCTAATGATGCCACAATTAGGCAATCAAAGACGTTTGCTTTAAATGTTTTTTCCTAAACTGATATCCATAAAGTAGAGCTAGCATTTATAGGAAGCACTATTGGTTCATGGTGGTATTAAAAAAAGGCAGCTTGGATACACGTTAAAAGGCTCCTCTCAGAACATATAACAGCTTTTATTTTGAAAGCTGACAGTACTGCTTATTTTTGTATTATTTAATTTTATTTACATTTTGTCTGGCTGGGTTATAGTTATGTTACAGAAGTGTTGGATTTGAGGGGGAAATGTTTATTAATATCGTTGTAATTGTTGTTATATACAGTATTTGTTGAATTAAAAGCATGACAGCTGACATAAGATGTCTGTAGTTCCCCCACACATTCCCTGCCTGAGACTTTCACTTTCAGGTTTTATTTTCCCTCCACTAACTGATGAATTCCTGAATTTATTTATTTATTTTTTTGTTTTCTGTTGGGCAGTTCTCCTACCTGGAGAAGCTRCTGCTGGTCCACGGGGCGTGGAGCTACAACCGTGTCACAAAGTGCATCCTCTACTGTTTTTACAAGAATGTGGTCCTCTACATAATCGAGGTAAGCCACACCGTGTCTGCAGCTTCAGATTAACAGAGACGTTTTGCAGCTGTTTGTCGACGTGGCTGACAGTGATGGACGAGGTGCCCCTCTGGTGTCTGATTGGTGGGGTTAGTTACGATCAGAGGAAAGCTCAGGGTTGTGTGTGTGTGTGTGTGTGAGATGAAGAGGCAGCTGTCTCACTCTGATGTCTGATGTAAAGGATGCCAGCAGGTGCAGGTCCTCCTGGGAGCCCACCGTCCCGCTCAGACCAGCGCTCTGTGTCTGTAAATATATACGTCTCCATGATTGCCTCACATAATTGGCCTCCAGCAGAGCGATCCAGGTCAAAGGTTAAAGACGGTTTCTGTTCACTCAGTGGAGGTAGAAACATAAAGATGGGGGTGGGAGTGATGGAGAAAAAGTGTGCATGTGYCTAAGCTCACCCCCAGGAGTGTTAGTAATACCCCAACTCCCAGCAGCAGCCCCAAACATTTACRCTGTCTGACCTCAGATCAGCTGGGTGACTTCACATTAAAATGTTAATCAGGGTGCAGTTCAGACCAGCATCCGGTTAGGAACTGCAGCACTGTGCGCAAGTTTAAAACCATTTCCCTGTTTTGTTTTCAAGGAACCAGGCTTTATTTTAATCTTTTTTGGTGCTCTTGATCAACAGTTCTGCAGACGTTGCAGAGATTTTTCAAAGATTTTCACTAGACTTCGGCTGCTTTTTCACTCATCCATACTAGACGGCACATTCTATCCATCCTTTCGTTATTCTCYACTTGTTCCAGTGTCGGGTCTCCAGGGCTGCAGCTTGAGCAGGGAGGCCCAGACGTATCTTTCTGCAGCCACCTCTTCCAGGTCTTCTGGGAGGATTACAAGGCGTTCCCAGACTAGCCAAGAGACATCAGGCCCTTTTGCACTGCAAGGCCCGGCCCAGGTCGGCCTGGCTTCAAACCAGGGTTCAGCATGTTTGCGTTAGCTGTTCTGGCACCATTCCATCTAGGGCGGAGCGATATGGACAAAAAAAATCTATTTTTTTTCTTCATTTGCAGATATCATTAACCTGAAGATATCTTTCTTTCTTTCTTTAAAAAAAACATACTGTCATACCCTGCTTGCTTACCATGACTTGTACGGATATGATTAACCACAAAAACATTTGAAACATGTTCTCCAGGATGATGAGGTGGGGGTAAAAGTTTATGCTCATCAATGAATAAATCTGACTCAGCATGCGCACACTCCCATGGGCTCGGTTCGGGCTCGGTTTGCGCTTTGGATACCATGGAGTGCATGCATCCTCCCCAATGATGGAGGTGTTTATACTTGGTGCWTACRTTATTWTAATATTCTCCATGTGGCAGAATAATTTATAACTCATGAAATGTTGTAGGAGAGCAAAAGCATGATGAACTAACAAACTGTTTGAATGTTGCATGTCGCGCGCAGCCTTTGCACAAGGAGCTTGGTCACTCGTGCAAAGATGGACATATCTGTTGGATAATGGCACTCTGAGCACAAATATTTAATATAAAGTTAGGTTTTAGAGACCAAAGTCCCAGTAGTGAAGTGATTGAGGAGAAGAGAGGTTTACTCAATCAGGAGGACTGCTGCTCCTACTGACCCGCCCGGCTCTGCTCTCATTGGACAAAAGTGCTCTGGGGTTTGTTTGGTTTGTTGRAAGTAGCATCCCATTTAGAGCAGAATGGGTGACTTTAACAAGACCGCAACAGAAAACAACCAGAGTTCCCCGTCTCCACCCATTTACAGATGACGGATATCCGTCCTGGAAATCTGTCCTGGCCATGTTCAAAGTTACAAAAATCCATTGTGGCGACAGAGAACTTTAAGCCCCGTGGTTTTGGCTGCCGTGAATCCAAGACTGAATTCTGCCCGCTGATTGGTTCACTTGCCACTGACCTCAGTCACATGACTAAATCCTTCMCRCTGATTGGTTTCTGTGGCAAATATTCCACGAATAGGGACTTATGCCTCTGTCCTTCACCACCGTATTTGTTGTCTTTTCGTGACAGTATGAAAACTCGATAATGTAAAATCGCATATCTTCAAAGCAACATGGACAATAATATCTGCAATATATATCGCCCACCTCTAATTCCACCCCGATTTCTTCAACCWCGAGATMCGAGGTTCTRTTTGGGCTGGGCTGCTCAGTTTGATTTGACGTCAGCTGCTGCTGCTCTTTGATTGGTTYGCTGACCACAGCCSTCACGCAGATGATCRTAACTTTATGTGAATCATTTGCAGCAGCTGTATCTTTTTTTTGACACAAGTTTAATTACACAACTGCTGTTGCAATATGCTAAGCAACGACAAGCTAACATTAGCTACGATTAGCTTACAGCTTTCTGTCGGCTTGTCCTCTCATCTTCACCGTCACACAGCAGGTCCTGTACAGCCTTTGGTACTTTTCCGTCAAGTTTGGTGTAGTCCATTATTGTTTTGTCCCAAATAAAACTAAATGAGATTTGCATATAATTATTATTATCTGCTTGACGCAAACACAACTACGGTTGAGGTAGAATAAGGCCAGGCCGAATGGAGCTGGCTGCAAAAACACCTATATATAGCATGTCCTTGGTTTTCCCCAGTGTTTCCTCCCAGTCAGACATGCCCAGAAATCCTATATAAGGAGGGGTCCAGGTGATGTCATTACCAAGTGTCTGAACCCCCTCAGCTGACTCCTTTAGATGTGGAGGAGCAGCAGCTCTACTCTGAGTGTCTCTTAGATAATCAAACCTTTTACCTCATCTCTGAGCTACCCTGCAGAGAAAACTCATTGTGACCGCTAGGGATGTAAGAAAATATCGATACACTGAAATATCGCGATATTTCATTTCCCCATACTGTATCGATATTCTAAAGCCCTGTATCGATTTTTT